AGATTGCGGAAGCTTCGTTGATAAGCTCTGATACCATATTAACTCCGGTGAATCGGAGAAGAAGAACACGAGCAAAGAAGAATCGGAGTCAAAGAGAATCTTTATTCAACAGTCTAAAAACAGAGTTTGTTACAAAACTTGTTGAAAATAAAAATGTAATCTTAAGCTTATATATACAACTTAATAATCGACATTAAACCAATACCAAGTTAACCAGAGTTAACCGGATTAAACCATCTCCAATAATATGCTAACAGTGAATCGATATTAAAATAATAGTGGATTGGGTTAACCAAACTAACTGTAGTTTCTTAAATTCATTATTTTGAGAAACCATGCTTTAATTTTTCTTTCGATGTAATCTAAAAGGTTCGATATATTGTTTTTTTTTTTTTTATAAACAATTCTCAAGCCTTTATTGAATATTTTATTCGTTTGACTTTCTATTTTTTTTTAGCAAAAACTGTAACCTGAGGGATATACCAACGTAGATCCTAAAGAAGTAAAACAGAGAAAGTCTGTATTATTTGTTTCAATGTATGAAGAAAATGAATTAAAATAAAAAAAAGGATTTAGTGAGCTGACTATAACAGTATATAAATGAGATTGTGGCGGCAACAACGTGCTTGCTTGTGTCCTAATTCTTCTCTCTCCGTCAATTATTTCGTCTTAAGAAAATGTCCTAAGATCACCAAACATAGGGTTCTTGTTTGTTCTCTGCTTGAACAGAACTACAAGGTAAGCTCTGTTCTGTCTGAAGCTCCATTTCTCTGTAATATTTACATCTTAATTCTTCTCAATTAGCCTGCAAAACTCTATCTCAGACTCTGAATTCTGCAAATTTTATATTTCAATCTTCTTTCAGGAGTTTGAAACTCTGTTTTTAAGTTTTAGATTAAACAATGGAAGAGAAAAAAGTAGTAAGAGCGTTAAGCGAGCACCTATCACTACCTCCTCCACCATCTCCTTCTGTAGCGGTAGCCATTAATGGGAAGAAGAAGAGCAAATACGTCGCTTTTTGGGCTCTTGAGAAGTTCATACCTGAAGGTTTCACTGATTTCAAATTGCTTTATGTTCGTCCTCCTGTCAGTTACATCCCTACCCCAAGTAAGTTGTGACTTAAATGTTTCATAATCTTATAATTTATGCAAAAGATCAATGTTTTGGGTACAAAGATCGAGTTTTTCTTATTTTGGGTATGGTTCGATTTCAGTGGGGAATACGATATCGGTATCAGAGCTTAGGGACGACGTAGTATCAGCTTACAAACAAGAAGTGGATTGGAGCACAAACGAGATGCTTCGTCCCTACAAGAAAATGTTTGAGAGGAGAAAGGTTCTGTCTCAAGAACTAAATCTTAAACTCTCGTGTTTTTTTTTTTTTTTCTGTTTTCCCAAATTCTGAAAAATGTACCATATTGAACCAAAAAAGGTGCAAGTAGAGGTTTTGGTTCTGGATTCAAACGAGCCTGCAGCTGCGATAGCGGAAGAGATTGCTGGAACTGGAGTCACAAAACTGGTAATAGGAATGTCTCTCCGCGGATTCTTTTCAAGAAAGATCGATATGTCTTCTATGATCGCAACAGCTGTTCCGAGATTCTGCACTGTCTATGTGATCTCGAAGGGGAAACTAGCTTCCGTGCGTCCTTCTGAGTCAGACGCTAGCGGAAGCATAAGATTCGAGAGAAGCAGTTCCACAAGTGGCTCCACTGATAGTCCAAGACTTCCTCCTGGTAAAATTTTTACATCAATTAAATTGAATTGAGTCTTTAAAATGTCAGTTTTCTGAATCCCAAAAACTTGAAAACAGAGTACCAAGACTTTCTCTCGTTTGTTTCGGAAGGACAATCCCGAGTCTCTCCTTTTTCCCCTGCTCCGAAAAATTCGTTGGGAAGCAGCGCAGTGGTTCAGATGGATACGAGTTCTAGCGGGACGGACCAAGAGGAAGTATCTACTGGGAGAGGGATGGAGATTGTCCATAGCGGTATTGAAGGAAAGAAGAATAAGGATGAGAGCTTTAGCGCCTCGTTCCCAATGGGAACGGAAGCTTACAACTCGATGAGCTGGACGTCTAAATGGAGAGATCACGAGGATAGGAGAGAGATCAGGAGCTCTTCTTCGAGCAACAACCACGATCTAGCCAATATGGACTGGGGTGCCGTGGTTCCTGAGAACTATTCTTGGGTTTCTCATTGTGCCTCTAACATGTCTGATGGACTCCTCAGTGTCCATTCCATTACCGATAATCAGGTATCATTCTTGATTATTTGTCATTGATGCTGTTTTGTCCAGAGAAAACAGAACGGCTTTGTTCATTTCTCTGTCTCTGGAGTCAAGAATTGAGAGTCAGAGTCAGACTCACCATATTGTTGTGCTGACTCAGAGTCATAATATTGTCTTCATCTTGATTCTGTCACAACCATATGTTTTGGTTCGAAACTGAAATTGGATTTATATGTGTAGGTGAATCTGAACTTTGAGATAGAGAAGCTGAGAGCGGAGCTGAAGCATGTTCAGGAGATGTATGCCATGGCTCAAACCGAGACTGTGGGTGCTTCACAAAAGGTTTCATACAAGTTCTGGAACCTCATAGACCGGGGGGTTTTTATTTTTGTTAACATTTAGGTGTTCTGGCTTTTGTTTTTGGGTGGCAGCTGACTGAGCTAAACCAGAGGCGGTTGGAGGAATCCGAGAAGCTTG